TTACTTGCGCTTCCTGCTCTCCTCTTTGCTCGGCCACATTTGGGCTTGGAAAAAGCTTGAAGCTGAAATGTGTTCTTAAGGGCCAGAAGCTGTCAAGGCTTTGGGTGAGCAAGATTGATCGCACCCAGACTTCCTTCAGACCTTTGTTTGGAATAAAAGCAAGAAAACTGCAAAACCTTACATTTTCCAAACTAGCATCTCTATCTGCAAGGCAATGCTCTGAGTTGGTCAAGGTTGGAGACCACTTTATAGCTCATTTCCAACCCAAACCCCTTAGATGCTGGCCTCAGAAATGGAGTTCTGCCCTTGTTCCTTGGTCGGCCTTTCTCATTTTCTGCATAGAATTTTCTCCCCCACCAACCTCTCTCTCCTTGGCCATCAGAATGATTTATTTTCCTGCCACTGATGCCTGCCGGCCTGGGGCACTCTGATCACTTGGTCCATTTCAAAGGAAGAAAAAAAGAAGGAAAAAAAAAAAAACCCGAATCGCCTCACCATCCTTAGGGTTTGTGGGAGAGAAGATACCTTCATCAGATCTCTCTCTCTCTCTCTCTCTCTCTCTCTCTCTCTCTCTCTCTCTCCTAGTTTTGGTGATTTTTTTTCTTTTTAGTTCTTTTTTTCTCTCTCTCTTTCTTTTAAGTTCTTGCTTGGTTCCTAAAGGTGTTATCTTTTGAATCCTCAGCACTGTCCAGCACTTAGTCTGAAGTCCTGTCTCAGAACTGGAGGAAAGAGAATGAAGGAGAAGTTGAAGCGATGTAACTCCTCCTTGAGTCGCCCTCTCCTCCGCAGTGCTGTTGCCCACAAGAGGACCAGGGTGCAAATCTCCCTGGTGTCCAAGAGCAGGAAGGTGTGGGAGGCAATTCAGGCTGCCAAGAAACGCTCGCTGCTTCTGAACCAACCAGTCCCCAACCAGAGCGACAAGTACTCGAAGAAGAGTAAGAGGGAAAAGGGAGCGAGGAACAAGAGTCCTCGCCCTCTCTGCTGATAAGTTCCAGCATCTTCCTGGAAATCCGAAATACTCACCGCGCCCGAGCCCTAAGGGTATGAAACCCAGAGTGCCAGGAGCCGCACGAGCCTGCTCGGGGCGGCATTTCTTTGGCTGGCCGCCGCCCAGGCTACGGGGATTTGGACACAAGGACCTGGGGCTGCTGTCTCTCTTGGCACATGCATCTATCTTTCTCCAGCCACTCCTGAGAAGTTGATGGTGTAGGAAGATCGGCAAGCTTCGAGAGCCGCCTCTCTTTTTCCGCTGCCCGCAGGAGCCAGATGCAAAGCTGCCGTGGAAAAGCCTGCTAACAATGGGCCGGGGGCGCATATCCCAGGCTGGACATTGAGAGGAGGCGAGGGCTGCGAGGGAGGAGAGGCAGACAGGGTAGAGTGGAATGGGTGAAGGAGAGAGGAAAAAGTAGAGAGGAAAGGAAAGGATAGGAGAGGGAGGGAAGAAAGAGGGAGAGAAAAAGACAGGAGAGAGAGAGAGAGAGAGAGAGAGAGAGAGAATGAATGAATGAATATATGAATCGGTTCTGAAATCCAGGAACTGATTTTAGGGAAAGTAGAGGAGGAGGAAAAGAAAAGGGGAACCCCCAATATCTTCTCATCTTCACTCTCCTCCTCTTCTCTCTCTCTCTCTCTCTCTCTCTCTCTCTCTCTCTCTCTCTCTCTCTCTGTCTCCCTCTCTCCCTCTCTCCCCCTCTCTCTCTCCCTCTCTCTCCCTCTGCTCTTTTCTCTTGCCTTAGCAGAACTTATGTGGCTGGGATGCAAGGCCCTCGGGTGTCAAAACTTTGAAGATTAATGGATTACTTTGTTAATGACTGCAGGCGTCAGGCTGAGGTGCTTAAATGATTTGTGAGGTGCGAGGCGTCTTCCCGACAGTCCCAAACAATGCACGGAGTGTGCGGGGGAGGCAGAGGGCAGGCGCTGGCGGGACCGGCAGCAGGGCTCACACGCACACACTCACACACACTCCAGGGAGCACACTAGATCTTGCAGATCAGGAGGCGAACAGACACTCTCGCCCCCACGCACTCCGGGGCATTCCCATCCACACCCACATATATGTATTTTTGCCCTGAAAAAGGTGTAAATAAAGCCTCGATGGCCCCCAATGAGGCGTTCCTTTCTGACTTTTTTGGATCAATCAAACAGACAGTGGCTTCTTTTGATTAAAGCCCAAATTGTCATTGGGCAGAAGCAATCATGTGACAGCCAATTCGGTCCAATTTCAACCTTGTCTCCATGAATTCAATAGTTTAATAGTAGCGCGGTCCCCATACGGCTGTAATCAGTGAATTAGAAAAAAAACACCCCAGCAGCGATCTTCTATGATAGATTTTTTTTTCCGTCTGCGCTCGCCTTTTTCTTGGGCCTTGCCCCCCCAAAGCCCCTCCAAAAGAGGGAACTTTTTCTCCGAGGGGGCTCCAAGGAGAAGGCCATGAATTACGAATTTGAGCGAGAGATTGGTTTTATCAATAGCCAGCCGTCGCTCGCTGAGTGCCTGACATCTTTTCCCCCTGTCGCTGATACATTTCAAAGTTCATCAATCAAGACCTCGACGCTTTCACACTCGACACTGATTCCTCCTCCTTTTGAGCAGACCATTCCCAGCCTGAACCCGGGCAGTCACCCTCGCCACGGCGCTGGCGGCCGCCCCAAATCGAGCCCCGCGGGCAGTCGCGGCAGTCCGGTGCCCGCCGGCGCCCTACAGCCGCCAGAGTACCCCTGGATGAAGGAGAAGAAGGCGGCCAAGAAAACCGCGCTGCCGCCCGCCACTGCCGCCTCCACGGGCCCTGCCTGCCTCGGCCACAAAGGTCAGTCCCGAGAGTTGGCCCAACGTCCCGGGGACCCTCGTCCCCCAGCGGGCTTCCCTGAGAGCGGTTATGGGGGAGGGGACCATGGGCTTCTAGGGAAGAGGGAGAGAGAGAGGTGCCTGGTGGCGGATACCTTGCCCCTGTGGGCTCAGGAGTGGTTTTGATGGAGAAGAAAATAGATTCTGAGCTCCACAATAAGACATATATATTTTGAGGGGGGGGACTTTCTCTAACTTGTGTAATGTAGGATGATTTATTTGAGTTGGAACTGACCTCCTCTTGTCTAGTTGTCCTAGAGTTTGGCTTTTTGACAGTAATGAAGAGTGATAGACCGCTCTTGCTCAGCTAAGCAGCTGATGCATTAATTATAAATTGTGTTGTAGCTAATATAAAGTTTGCTCCCGGATGAAGAGGTTGGGGGGAGCCACAGTCAGGATTTGCTGGAGGTGGAGGAGATTGGGCTTCTCCGGTCTGGGCTCCCAGGAAAGGCAGCACAATAGCTGCACCACATCCAGGGGCGGCCATCTTGTTGCAGTTGCTCTTTCTTGCTGTATTTATTCTCCAGTGGAATAACCCTGCTCAGACCCCTCCACCTTCAACTGTACGTGTGTCTCTTGTTGGTTTCCTTTTCCGCAGAATCCCTGGAAATCGCTGCTGATGGCAGCGGCGGGGGATCCAGGCGCCTGAGAACTGCCTACACCAACACTCAGCTTTTGGAGCTGGAAAAGGAATTTCATTTCAACAAGTACCTTTGCAGACCCCGGAGGGTGGAAATCGCCGCGCTGCTGGATTTGACTGAGAGACAAGTGAAAGTGTGGTTTCAGAACCGGAGGATGAAGCACAAGAGGCAGACTCAGTGCAAGGAGAACCAAAATAGCGAAGGGAAATTTAAAAGCCTGGAGGACTCAGAGAAAGTGGAGGAGGACGAGGAAGAGAAGTCACTCTTTGAGCAAGCCCTGAGCGTCTCCGGGGCCCTTCTGGAGAGGGAAGGTTACACTTTTCAGCAAAACGCGCTCTCTCAACAGCAGGCTCCCAATGGACACAATGGCGACTCCCAAACTTTCCCAGTTTCGCCTTTAACCAGCAATGAGAAAAATTTGAAACATTTTCAGCACCAGTCACCCACTGTTCCTAACTGCTTGTCAACAATGGGCCAGAACTGTGGAGCTGGCCTGAACAATGACAGTCCCGAGGCCCTCGAGGTCCCCTCTTTGCAGGACTTTAATGTTTTCTCTACAGATTCCTGCCTGCAGCTTTCAGATGCACTGTCGCCCAGCTTGCCAGGCTCCCTGGACAGTCCCGTAGATATTTCAGCTGACAGCTTTGACTTTTTTACAGACACACTCACCACAATCGACCTACAGCATCTGAATTACTAAGAACATTAAAGCAAAACAAAGCGTCCTAACACAAAACCCCTTTGACCAGGTGGTTTTGCCTTCTTTCATTCCGGGAGTTTATTTTTGTTCTATTTTCTTCTTGACCTCCCCATCCACTACTTTCTTAAATGTTGAGGATTTTCTGTTTAATGTTCTCCCCTGACTCGGTTTTAAAGCCATCTCTTACAAATTATGTTGGAGTTTTAGTTGTTTTACACCGAACCCAACAAGCTTCTATGTGATTTTCCTGAGAACAAAACATGAGGCCTGCAAGAAAGTGACCATAAATTGTCCTGTCACTTTCTTTTTATTTTTGTATCACATTCGGATGCATTGTCATGCGTATTTTTGGTAGAATAAATTCTCCTTTGCTATAAGTAGCTTTCTTATTTTTTCTTCCCCTCTAGGCTTACACTGATTCCGTTTTGCTTCTTTTAGTCTAATATAGTAAATAAAAGTCTGGTCAGTTTACCTTTTTCAATTTTAATATATTTTTTATTAGGGTGGCATGTTCAAAGTCTGCAATAGACAGCAACAAAGAAGAAAGCCAGAAAGTGGCCAGGGCTTCTGGCAAGTGGTTTTTTTTTTTTTTTTTTTTTTTGGCTTCCCCCCCCCCTCCCCAGGGAATGGATTTGGTTTTCAGTGTTGAGACTCAAGCCATAGAGAAATTACTAATAGAAACAGGACTGGGCTGCCTGAGTTGGCCCCAGCCCAAGCTTTTGAAAGTGGAGAAAGAAAGTGCCTCCCGAAACTCCCAGATCTAGGATGAGTAAAGAGGAGTTCCTTGAACAAGCTACCAGGCTCTAGGTCAATAACCAAGTTATCAAAAATTCATTTATTTATACACATTTGTTTCAAACATCTACATTCCAACTCCTCCCTTTCCTCTCCCCATTTTCAATGTGGTTGATTAATCTCCCAGTTGTTGATGGGTTCAGGCAAAACAGACCTAAAAGATAGAGGAAAACAAAATAAAACAAAACAGAGGTTACTAGCTGGAAAATGCATGCCAGCAGGCTTCTTTCCAGTCATCCCAGGGTTCTTGCCCCCACAACACACACACACACACACACACACACACACACACACCGATATTTAATTATTAGATCTGTTAACTTTGCTAATAATAAATCATTAAAAGTTTGAAGTCAAGTTAGCAAATTGATGTTTTAAAACAGAGAGTTTCTGCACCTTAGAATATTAATTAACCCAGTTTCTTAGACAGAGAAGGAGCACTTTAAATGAAATATCAATAAAATGTGATCTAGGGTGTGTTATTGGGGTGTTCTGTTTTTTCCCCCTCTTATTTTGTCTGCCCCTACTTTTTTTTTGGTTTTTTGAGACAGGGTTTCTTTATGGTTTTGGAGCCTGTCCTGGGACTAGCTCTTTTATTTATTCTTTCTTTTCTGGGCTCTGTTCTGATGACTTACCGTGAGAAACTGCAGCAACATGTGCGTGGGGCAAGCTGATTGATGTTTAAGAACCCAGCTCTTAACTGCAAAGGCTTGGGAGTTACAATGAAGCCTCCATCATTCTTGGGGGGGGTGTCGCTGCCTACCCTTCCCTCCACCCTCTACTCCCCCAGTTCCTCAGCCGTCTTGGTGTGTGGGAACTGTGAAGGTTCAAGCCCCAGGCTCCGACAGAGTAGAGCAGGGCGTCCCGGCTGTGGCAGGGCTGTGCAGCTCCTGGATGAGATTCGTCCTAAGCTCATAAATCAAACGCTTTCTATGAATGAGAATGTCATCAAAGAGATCAATTGCAGGAACACATGCACAAATAAAAATCCTCTTACGTATTTGCCGGGGATCCCCGTCCGAAAGCATTAAGTTAGAAGGCGTTCAGTCATAATTCATTTTTATTGCTCTTTTAAAACAACAGCTTGGCTGAGCCGCGGATGCCAAGAACAGCTCCGGGCCTAGGTCTGTCTCCTCCTTGCTCATTCTCTTTCCAGTGGAAGAGTCCTGAAAGAGGGACTTGGAGCCAAGCAAGCGGCTTGCAGAGGATTATTTCTCTCATGGCCCAAGCTCGCCTTTCACCCACTCTCCTAGGGGCTATTTAAAGAGACTTTAGCTCGATTCCTGCGTGGGTCGCTGGCTTCCTTGCTCAAAAGACCAAAGGTCTCTTACCCTGCTCTGTGGCCTTTCCGAATCCTTCCGGGTGGGGCTGCAGAAGCCTACCCAATCCAGGCTGGGGGAAGTTGTCTTGGAGAGCCTCCCTGGGAAAGATGGGCCCACAGCTGCCAGAGGCCGAGCCCGCTATTAAAAGGGCAAGGTCTGTGGAAGCCCCCGGTGTCTGTGGGCCGGGTTCCAGCGCGGGTTTGTGATCTCGAGGAAAATACCCAGGAGAACCAAGGTGGAGGGAGAGGGTTGCAGGGAGCCAGAACTAGCACAAGGAGGCCAGCCTCCCGGAGCTAGGAGATTAATGCAAAACCGGAGTGAGGAGGCCCACAGTGGGCTAGGAACCGAGGAGGGGAGAGAAGGAATGGTAGGCCTTCTGCTGGGAGAGCAGCTCATAGGCACTCAGAGCGCTGAGCCTCACTTCCTGTTCCTGACACATAGGAGTCCCTTCTTTCCTCACAGCGGGAGGACTGCCCACCCAAGAGAACCTCCTCCGGGAGGTCTGCCTTGCTTTCCTCTGGTTTGAGTCCTCAGGAGCTGAAGCTAAGGGCAGGGGAAAATTTTCAGTCTTTGCTCCCCCTTAACCATGCTTTGGGGTGAGTCAAAGGTCACGAAGAAATACCACTCCCCAAATAAGTGGTTGGGGGAAATGTTTGGTTGCTACTGAGGGAGACTGAGGACAAAGGTCTACTAAGGTTTCCCTGAGGACGGCCAGGTTTGGGGGTGGGTGGGTGAGGAAGGCGACTTCTATGGGTGAAGAACAAAGCACAGAAGTCTGAAGTGTGACCTCACATTTAAAAAGTGCCTCCTCTGCGCAAAACTTTCTTTTACTTTAGAGAAGGGAACCCCCAAACTCACAGATAAATTGCACTGTTAATTTCATGCAAGGCTAGAAGCATGGTCAGAATAAAATCCATGCAGAATTGTGTGCAAGACTTCTTAGGTGACCACTGACTTTCTCCTACTTAAGAATGTGTTCATTCTCATCTCTGTCTCTGTTTGGCCTTTCCTCTCCCCAAGCCCAGGGCTGATATTAAACCTAATAGTAAACAGCAATTACGGACACCATCAGCATCACTGTAGAATGAGGTTGATGGAAAACAGGACCCCTGTCCTGGGATGATGCTCGCATTTGCACGTGCCTCTCCGGGGAGTGACCTGAAGGTTCACACAAGCAACTACACAGTCCGTTGGAAAGTGTCCCATCCACTCAGCCATCTGTCCACTGCCCCTCCCACCTGCCAGTCCTCACCATCTCCCCCCCCCCCTTCAGCCAGCCACGCAATAGGAGGCAGTGGGAAGACGAGGCTCCCCCACTCCTAACATGCCCCCCCCCCGAAAGAGAGAAATGTGTCAGGGGAGGTCAGCAGATTTTGTGGGAGCTGGGATCCAGCCCTCTGAGGCCTACGCTGGAGCGCGCAAGCTCCTGGGTCTCTAAGAGCGGACAGATGGCCTGCAACTCAGGCTAGGCCCTCGTGCCGGCCATGTCTGCTAGCGTCATCTTTTTCCTTTGCCTTCTACCCTCAAACTCCAGCAGCAGTGTTGCTCCGGATCCTGCAGGGTTACCAGGAGCAAAGCTGACTGGGGAGGAGAAAGGGGAAGAAATCGAGGGAGTGGGAGGGCAGAGAAGAGAGCAGGCGCCCGGTCTTTCCCAGAGACCTAGGTTCCAAAGGCTCCCCCCCCCCCCCTCTGGGGTCGAATTACAGAAGCTCCCGTTGCCACGCTATTGGCCCTTCGGAGTCAAGGAAGAGGGCTCTGAGACCCTCAGGATGAGGACAGTAGTTTCTTTTCTTTCTCTGGTCCCCTGCACGCCCACCCTGGTTCCTCCCAGACAATCCTCTGCACACGTCCCCCTACATTCCGTGGCTGGCGAGCCAGTGACGCAGCCTTGCTCTAGGCGCCGCGGTTCCAGGCTCAAGTCTCTGCTGGGGCTGGGTGGTGGCGGCCGTACCCGGCTGACTGCCCTGACGTCTGCTGGATTCCTACCCTTCCCACCCCGCTTGCTCCCGGCTCTGCCAGGGTCCTTGCGACCATGCGGAGAGCTCTTGTTTACCGATGCCCGCCTCAAGGGAGCCGGGAGACCTCACCCCCTCTCACCTCTTGCCAGTTCAGCTTTCTGGGCTGGGTGGGGAGAGGGTCGTGGAGGGTCGCTTCCCATCCCCCACATCCTGGAGGCGGAGGCGAGCAAAGTCGGGTACGCGCAGAGGGCAATCTCTACTCCCTTTGGCCCCGTGCTCCAAGTCAGCTCTGGCAGCGGCCGCCGCGGCCCGGGCTGCCTGGGGGGGCGACCGCGCGTCACCTAGACTGAGGAGCGCCGGGGATTTAAATGCCACTGAAACGGTGATCCATCACCGCCGCAGCCGGTAAACTTTCGCAGGCAGCTCAGTCATTGGCTGACAAAGTCACGTGTCCTTCCCCTTAAGCCCTCCGCCTTCCCGCCCCGCCTCTTGCGCACTGTACATTCATATCATTTTTCTTCTCTGGTCCCATGGAGGAAGTGAGAAAGTTGGCACGGTCACCCAGGGCTTCGCAGGACCCAGTCACTCAGTGACAGATGGACAATGCAAGAATGAGCTCCTTCCTGGAATACCCCATCCTTGGTAGTGGCGACTCCGGGACCTGCTCTGCGCGAACCTACCCCTCTGACCATGGGATTACAACTTTCCAATCCTGCGCGGTCAGTGCCAACAGCTGCGGCGGCGACGACCGCTTCCTAGTGGGCAGGGGGGTGCAGATCAGCTCGCCCCACCACCACCACCACCACCACCACCATCACCACCACCCCCAGCCGGCTACTTACCAGACTTCTGGGAACCTGGGAGTTTCCTACTCCCACTCGAGTTGTGGTCCAAGCTATGGCGCGCAGAACTTCAGTGCGCCTTATGGCCCCTATGGATTAAATCAGGAAGCAGACGTAAGTGGTGGGTACCCCCCGTGCGCTCCCGCTGTTTACTCTGGAAATCTCTCATCTCCCATGGTCCAGCATCACCACCACCACCAGGGTTATGCTGGGGGCACGGTGGGCTCGCCTCAATACATTCACCACTCTTATGGACAAGAGCACCAGAACCTGGCCCTGGCCTCGTATAATAACTCCTTATCCCCTCTCCACGCCAGCCACCAAGAAGCCTGTCGCTCCCCTGCTTCAGAGACGCCTTCTCCAGCGCAGACCTTTGACTGGATGAAAGTTAAAAGGAACCCTCCCAAAACAGGTGAGTTCTGCCGGCTAGCGAACAAATGCTTGGTTTTAAAAGGGGCCAGCTGCGCTTAGTTTCTTAGGAAAGTTAATGTTTTTAAAAGCTGGGTTCTTGCTTCTCTGCCTAATGTTGGCTGGAGTTGTAGTGTGTGGTATAGGGTGCTCAGGTGTGTTGGGGCAAAGGAGTTTCTGGGTCTGGCTTTTAGGGGGGGGCTGAGGTTTAAGTGGTCTAGAGATAGGAAATGTGTATGTGTGTTGGTTGGGGTGGGAAGTGTCGGTGGTGGATATTAACATTGAACCTGTTAATATCTACAGGTTCCATTAATCACGAGCCTGACCACGCTAATGGTTGGCATCAGGTTAACACTTTACATAGACATCATCCGTCACTGGCGCTTCCCACCCGGGTTTGTGCTGAGCAGTTAACGGAATATTGCCCCATAGGGCAATCGGACAAGGGCTTAAGAATTTTTACCTTTTCTTCTCTTTCTCTGTTTCCCTAGGGAAAGTTGGAGAGTATGGCTATGTGGGTCAGCCCAATGCAGTGCGCACCAACTTCACCACCAAGCAGCTCACGGAGCTGGAGAAGGAGTTCCACTTTAACAAGTACCTGACCCGAGCGCGCAGGGTGGAGATAGCCGCCTCCCTACAGCTCAATGAGACCCAGGTGAAGATCTGGTTCCAGAATCGCCGCATGAAGCAGAAGAAGCGTGAGAAGGAGGGGCTCCTGCCCATCTCACCGGCCACTCCTCCTGGCAGCGACGAGAAAGCTGAAGAATCTTCTGAGAAATCCAGCTCCTCGCCCTGCGTCCCTTCTCCAGCATCATCTACCTCAGACACCCTCACTACCTCCCATTGAGGCCGCTTCTGCCCACCTCCGCAATCCAGGCTTCTCTCTGGGCTGGGATTTCTTACCCAAAGCACATTCTTAGCTTATCTTACTTTCTTTCCAGTCTCTCTCTTCCTTTCTGGTCCTATCCAGGGAGCTCCTGGCCAAGATAATGTAGTTTCAGATAATTCTGGAGACTTGGTTGGATGTTAACTCCTTAATTCCCATCGGGTGCCCATATCAGTTTCCGGTGGGTCCCAACATTCCTTCCTCACTGCTGTGAGATTTTTCACACAACCTGTGGTTCCTTTCAGATGTCCTTTGGTGGACAGTTCCTTTTGCCAGCAGACGTTTGCAGGAGGCAGTCATCTCACCTTTTATCTGTAGATTGCTCTTCTCTGTTAAGTAGGGCAGGCAGAGAAGAGAGTATCTGAAGGCTCACGCAGAAGAGGTGCACTGAGTGTGTTTACACAATTAATTCGCCCCTTATTAACTCATTGTGTGTGAGTTTGCTGGTTCTAAATGCTTTCTCTTGAGAGATTTATCTTTATACAGATTTTCTAGAAACATGTACGTCACTATATCAAACAGGGTGGGCAAACTCTCAAAACTGGTAGTTTATGTGTGATTGTGGATGGAAAAAGGAAAAAAAAAGTCTCTCTCTTTCAAACAGAACCAGATGCCTCAGAAGGTAGTCTCAATTTGTTCTTTCAGAGTCAAGAAGGTCCGAGAAGCCCAAAGTTCAGAACCTTTGCTGTGCCAAGTCTTCTCAAACTACCGATTTCTTCTTGCTTCTCTGACCACCCTCCATTTAAAAAGTGTGCTGGGTTATTTGTAACCTAAAGGTATTCTTTCAATCCCCACTTCTTGCCACAGTTATCTTGGCTGGATCCAGTGTGATTTCAGCTGACTGCTAACCTGATGGATGGCACAATGAATGTATATTTTGTGTGATTCGTGAATAGTCTTCTGCATGTCGCACAATGTTTTGATGTTCCTGAAGTACCACACTGAGTTCTATCAGTTACCTTTTGTGAGCCTATGATAGCCCCCATTTCCTGTACAATCACGAACAGCTCTGAGATCCTGGAGAGATGCGATCCAGAGCAGAGTTTACGGGTCTTAAGATGTCTGTAATAAAAATATTCAAGTTTCGGGTATGCTTAAGCATCTGTGTATTTGGCTGGGCTACAGTTCATGGTTTACTACAAAGTAAGGGGAAGGACATATGGGGAAGGACAGAAGGGTGGTGTTTATTCTCAAAGAAGCGAGCCTTTCATTGTCATATAGCTTTCCCTAGAAGCGTATTTTCATCCAACTAATGTCTAGTTAATGCACCGATCCTTCTACCATAGCAACAGCTTCTTTATTATAATCAAAGTTCAAAATGGAAAAAAAACTAGTGAAGAAATTTGTGAAAAAGATCTATTTTTGAAACAAACAGGGCTACTTCCTGGGTCAAGTGCTAACCTTTTCACCTCCAACTGAATGCTGACACATATATAAACAGAGCCCCTTCCAAAGCTGAGCGCTCTCTTCAGCCAGCCTTAGGGAACCGAGAGCAGATTCCCATTTAGTCAGCTTCAGTAGGAAGCTGTGGTAAGGATTTCCTCTTCTTTTTTTGGATCGCCAGGCAGAGTGTCAATATATTCTGTCTTTTAAGTGGAGAACGATCTGTTTTCAATAGAGCCTTGCCTCCCTTCCCCGATTCTTTCTATCAACACCCATCCTTTCCCCCACTCCCTCGCGTTTCTGCTTTGCACAATCTTATCCCTTCAGACTCAGCTTTCATGTCCTCGCCACCATGGCTGTGAAGGGTGTGCATTTCTCATTCCGTGCCACACAAGTTGGGAAAAAGTTTATACTCTCATCTCTAGACTCAGACTCTTCCTAGTGAGCTCATGGAAACCAACTCATGTCTTTGTATATTCAAGTTGTTTCAGATCTCAGAGGGAGTCAACAAAAGATGGCGTTCCACATGGCTCTTCTAGACCTCTTGCCAATTTCCTTTTTTTTTTTTAAATGTATTTCAGGGTTTAAGCAACCATTTTAAACTTTTTCTGGTGGTGCTAGGGATGTAACTTAGAGCCTTGTTCATTCTAGACAGGGTTGGACCAATGAGACAACGCCCCCATCCTCAGTTTCCACACATATTTGGAGGCTTTGGGCCATGAGAGCAGAGCAGAAAATCTACAGCATCACAAATGCAGACGTATGACTTCCTTCCTTTGCAGGGGTGTTTTGAAAAGATGGGCTGGGAGAATACCTTACACAACTTTGGAATTTGCAGGCCTTCTAGAACACTTGTGAGATTTCCTGCATGTCCCTGTTAAGTGGGGTGGACTTTGTGGGAGCAGTTGTTGCCTGCATATCAAGGGCTCTGGGCACCCTCCCTCAGCTGCTGGGTTCTGAGGTTGCCTGAAAGGATTCAAGTGGATGGAGAGCACTTCAAAGACACCACCGTTTTCTTTCATTTCCCGCCTGGCTATACTGTATCTTTTGTTTATTAGTGTAAGGCCACAAAGCAAAACAGATGGCTGGTTTTCAAATACTTTAATGTGTTAAGGTGTCATTTGCATACCACGGTCCCGATTTCAATATCTGAAAGCAGGGTCTGACCTGCTGGAACCCTAGAGATTCCTATCTTGAAGGTGCTTGTTTTAATGTAGCTGAGAGGGAAGAGAACGATAAATTATGGCTAAACATCCCTAGCCTTTCCTAGGTTGTAGAATAAATCAGCTAACAAGCAATGCATTTAGGAGACATTAATATACCTTTCAACAAGGAAAACATTTGTATCTTTTTAGCTGTCCCAATCGATTAAATCAAAGGCGCTTAACACATTCTATTTCAAGGTCTCTCTCTCTCTCTTTTTATTTTTTTTCCTGTTCTGCTCTCTGAGGGGCACAGCTAATGCCTTAAAAAATCACAGCAATTGTAACGGAAACAGCCTAAAAAAATGGACAACAGAAAATAACATTTTTCTTTTATACGTTTAAAAATGGAACAAAGGTCTTAATCAGGGATCCCGGGTAATTGCAAGACAAAATTTGTTTTCAAACGTTTTCCCCTTCCTCCCATTTCCTCTACCTTCATCCAAAGTATTGGCTAAACCTGGGTGTCCTCAAACTACCCTGAGTTAGGTCTCTGTGACTGTGAAGTCTGCTTTGGCTTCACCTTTGAGAGTTTACTTTTGGAGGCTA